ATCCTTTAGTACTACAATCATTAGACTGTACTGTACCATTTAACAATAAAAAAATATTAAGCAAAAATGAAAGGAAAGATAGGAAAGAAGGCATACTTACTGTTATCTGAGAGTGTTTAGTTTTGCTGCTAATATTTATATGCAACGCCACCCACACATGTGTATTACATCTTGTTGCACAATTTAATGTGCCACCCACACACTGAATGTTTTTAAAAGTCTCTCTGATAAGCACTAAAATAAACAATGAACATAAACAATGAAAAGGAAGCATTGAAATATGGCAATAACTTTATGTGCATTAGTTAATGTTATTATAAAATCCTTCGTAATAACAGTAATAATATTTCATATTTTATGTACAAGCAATATATTCCCTATGTGCTGGAATACATTGAATCTCATCAATGTGATACCAGGAATGACTACAAATCATTAACTTCTATCAAGTTCATCTTTTTTCATCTACTTCACTGAAAAAATAATTAAAGTTACTTTAAAATATGTACATCTACATAAACAAGAGTACACTATTCAATTAAGAAATTATTTATGACGGTACATGCACTAACTAGGCACCACCTCAGTAATGTAAATTCATGTCTGGAAGGTCAAGGGTAGGAGTAGGGTCTAATATAGTTAGTATGTTATGTATCTGTCCCCAATATTAGGGCAACGACCGTTTGTTGATTAACTAAGTCTTTCCACTCAGTTTCGTTTAGCGTTATGTGTTTTTGGGCTACTTTCTTGAATCTTGGCATGAAAATAAATCCCATCACAAGAAGGAGTTGTGATACTTATTACACTTTCACTTTGTACATTGTAGAAATTGGTTATACTGTCACCAGCAAGATAACACCAGTTAGCTAGTAGCATCATGAATTCAATGGTGGGAAGAGCCAGTAATGTGGCCTACATGTGGCAGTAGCTAATGGTACACACATTCCTACAAGTTCCTTGTGTAATGGAACTGGCTTGTTACATGAGTAACAAGGATGAGTAACAAACATAAGTCATGTTTTATTTTGTGGATAAATTAATAAACTTTCAATTGCCATATTGTGAGCTATGGCCCATTGGTTTTGACAAATTTTGAGCAACTTAAGAATTTATTAAATTGTCTATTTTATGAATTTATAAACTTTAAATTCATAAAAATTTATTATGTATAGATATTCCTGTATAATCCTTGTAAAGTTGTTATCAAGGTGACATTGTTAGTCATTATAAAAGTATCCTCAATACCAGTAATATGAGATAATGTGTATTACTGTTAACTATATCATTAAAAGTACAATAATTATTACTATACTGACATCATGTCATTATTATTATTGTTTCTGTTAGATGTACAGTTCATCTTCTTCCTCTTGTTCATCTCCTTCATTCTTTATTACCTCATCCTATACCAATTGAAATAATATGTAATATTGTATTAGTCACACTTAGTATAGTTACACAATATTCTTTTGGCCTATGTGAGTCATACAATGGTCTTATAATATAAATAAATGTCACAATAACATAGTACTTTACCTCTTGTTCATTAAACATCATTGTTCTTGGTTCATCATATACTAATGCTTCTTCACCAATACCTGTAATAATTCAATACAATATGTCACACTATATAGAGCATAATATTCACCACACATTAACAATACTCTCCTATTGATCCATACACACTATATACATGTACTTGCTCCATATATGCATACTTTCTATTCCTTCTCTGTTGTGAATACCATAGGCAGGATTAGCAGTGTTATGTCTGGAGCGTAGAATTAGCAAGGAGAATGTGTTAAATACACTGAATAAATAAAATGATTAACACAAACGGTTGGCAATCACTCCAAACACAAACCAAATAAAAGAAGAGAAGAAACAGAGCCAGAAGGTACCAAGAACAGAACAAAGGACAAAAGAACAAGAACTGAACAAAAACGTGGAAGGGTAGAATATATACATGTGTATGCACCTACACAAATTAGAATGTTCTAGAACAGTAAGAAATAGCACATGGTATAAGTAATTACATTTACATAAAATACATTATTAATAAAGAAATCATATCTGTTAGCTTTGAGTTCACCACAAGCAGAGATACCAGATTCTATTAATAAATGTAATTAATGATAATGTATGTATTGTTTTATAGTCTATCTTACTTTCAGTAATACCATAGGCAGGATTAGCAGATACACCAGATTCTATTAATAGTTGTATTGATTGATAATAATAGTCTATCTTACTTTCAGTAATACCATAAGCAGGATTAGCAGATACATCAGTATTCCAGTCTATGTCATAATGTTAATATCATTATTGTACTCATATAATATCATTAGGTCTTACTTTTACCAGTAACTCCATAGGCAGGATTAGTTGATGCTGTTAATGTGTTCTGTCCTTCATCCAGTCTTAGTGCTATATAATTGTAATGATGTTCATGTACTTGATAATAGTTTCACTATTAATTACCATCTGATTGTTGATTTATATCAGGTTTTCTTTTGTCCAAACTAAAAATATCATTTCCATTTGTTGTTTTATACAATCTTCTCCTACACACTAATACACTCACTATTAATATTACTAGTATAGTAACTACCAGTAATATAAATACTGTACTAAGTACTGCTGCTAGTGTATTACTGCCTGTACTGCTTTGAAGTGTCCCTTCAGTAGATACTGTAACTGATGGATTACTGGTCGAGCTATCAGTAACTGATGTACTACTGATGGTTGATACTATAGGAGGAGGAGGACTGACTGTACCATCACTGATTGATGGAGTAGAACTAGTGACAGGAAGAGTTGAAGAGAGAGTGTTTGATGATTGAGAAGGTGTGTTTGTGATGTGAAGTGTATTGTTTATTGATTGAATTTGTGTGGGGTAACTGGTCAAGGATGATGATGATGATGTAGACTGCAACAAGGTAGTGGGTGGTATGTCCATATTAGTAGTTATTGTATTAGTAGCTGGAGTGTGGGAGCATACTACTAGTGATTGTGTATAAGTAGAAGTATGAGTAGAGGACAC